TCGCCTTCAAGATAGCAGAGGATTGTTGAAGCGTCCACATGATTGCGGTGTATGCAACCGAAGAAACGGGCGTTTTATATGGACAGTCCGGGTATATCAGTGGGAGAATGTTGGTCACGACATAGACGATGAAGGTAGCGAAGGATATGATTCCTATCACGAGTGCAATTTTCTCCTGCTGCGGTAGGAGATACAACACAAGGCCAATGGCAAACAGGCCGAGTGACAGGTACAACATGAGCGGCAGGAGACCAATTAAGGTGCTGACACGCCAATCAAGAAGACCCTTGTAACGTAAATGCCGAGTACGACTGCGAACTTGTGGGTCCCCGGCGATCGGTGAAAGATAATGACAGTACCACTCGTCTGCAAGGACGGCAAATAACGCGGTTGCAAGACTGAAAGCAAGACTCGCGAACCATAGTCCATTTACCCATGAATCCAGAGTCTCTGGCGTAAAAACAGCAGTGGGGTCGGCGCCCGATGTGGTGATGAGGTCGAGGGAAGTGCCGTTGGCTAGGGCACGTTGTATATTGATCTGATCGAATAGTAAAAGGGCCGACAATTGCTTATAGTTTGGTTGGAGATTTCCGGCAGATTGCGCAATGAATGCGCTGACAATCGCAGAGAACAGTCCTGCCTACAAGGGGGAGAAATTAAGGCGATACATCATGGCATGACCTGAATTAGCTCACAAAAACGAGGAGGATATTCACTTGTCCTCTCTGGTTTCCAAGCATATCGGTGTCGTAAACCAAGCTTTCGTCCAGATAAGCTCGCCAAATGCAAGATGTCGGGCCCGCTTCTTCAAAAGGTGGACTCGGTGCATATGCCCGATAGTCAGCTGGGATGGCAACCGCGTGAGGACAGAGAAAGTGCTTGGATAAATTACACATACCAGTCGACACTCCTGCAGCCGTGCTTGTAGTGTGCGACGGCAGAGCAAAAATGCCTGGGTGTCTTTTCCTAGCTCGACGCGCCGTAGGCCCCTCATCATGCAAGGGCGCATTCTTCTCTTTGTCGGTCGTACTGGCAGGCGGCGACGAAGGATGGGAATTATTAGGATCATCCAATGAAAATTGGGAGTGTCGGGCTGAATCGTCCAGCTCATCAGCGATTCCAATCCCTTCGTCATTGTAAACGGGATCCTGTGGATTCTCGTCTCGAATTTCTGTGGGCATATTGTGCTCGTTCGTAATGGACAAGAGAGAGATACCGCAAGAACGAGGCAACAGATATTAATGTGATTCTGCCGTCCGCACATTCGCATGTAAACGGAACGGAATGATGAAGTTTACGGCAGTTTAAAGAATTGATTCGATTGATGAGCCCTGCAGTATTAGACATCCAGGAATGTGACACAAGCCGGTTATAGACGAACCAAGCATGGGAAGTTATTGCGAGGCAAGTGAAGAGACTACTGAACGATCATTCGAAGCACCACCTCGTGTATCCATTGAATGATTCGTCGAAAACAAGCTCTAAGAACTGCGACCCTCCATCGATTTAGATTCTCATGAATAGACAAAGGTAAAAGCAGTCACCTGTTGCTCCTGCTGGGTGGTAAATGACGTTGTCACTGCATATAAATCTTATACAAGAATAGACATTCTCTTCTTTGCTTCCTGATGATCATTCACAGTAATGCCCGTGTTTTCAAGGCGATAGAAGGCACTTCCACTATGATTTAATTACCGAAGGTCGAGCCATTCGCCCTTATCGTCACAGACGAGATAAACGCAAAGTTGTCGGATAAGCCTACGTGTCTTGTCAGATGTAGACGGAATTAACATCGACCGTCATCCGGACGTATACCTAAATCATTGGTCTGGGTACCTTTGAGTTAAACGCAAGTACTGTGTCATCTAGCTGAAGATAGTTGAGGCGAGGCGAGGTCACTCACTAATAGGGGAAAGCATCACAGCACGAGGGGAAAATGAGAATAGATGCGAAGATATGGTGGCGCAAAGCACAAGTCATGCTGGAGTCGCGTCGAGGTAGGTAATAAGGTATGTAGGTTGCCACAGGCACGAGCCAACGTATCGGATCGGGCCGGTGACATGCATCAGCGCACAAATGATGATTCGCTTGTTGACCATGTTCGCACGTTCAGCGTAATTGAAATCAAGGTGGTGGATGCCAGGAGATAGAAGGCAAGGATGGTGCCGACTGGTAGTGGGGGGGGGGACCCGGAACCGATCCTCGTGTCGAGTCTTTTCGGTACTGGTTCAGCGCGAACTAGTCAGCGATCCATTGCCTTGCATTCAAGTCTCGCCTCGCCTCACCTGCTGTCAACCCAAAGGTGCTAAACCCCGTCCCTACCAACAGACATTCTTATCGTCATGCCCTATTCCTACCTCATATATTCTGGTCCCAATACTTCCATTGCTTGACGGCTACTTTCTCTGCACCTCTCAGGTTGTATCGTAGGGTAATTTCGATGGGGGTATTCCTTATCACAGAGAGAGATGTCAGATCTTTCATACACGTCTGCAAGGCCAGGCCATCATCATAGACTCGGACTTACTTTGTTCCCAGATAGCCTTGCGGTGCCGTGAAGATTTCTTCCGGCTGCGCCATAAGTACTTTCTTGGTGCTGTTTACCATTGTGTCACCTTCGAAGCTACACTTCACCTCCATCACATCCCGAGGCTGCACATCTACCGCTACCGCTGTTCGCCATCTAAGTTCGAGCCGTCCTGCTATCACGATTAGTGTCCAAATGCGAAGGAGACAAGAAATCCGAGGTCTGGGTTGCCAACAAAAACCCGGGATGGAGAGTTCTTGGGAACATGTGGACGTTAGACCTCGCTGCTTCCTCATCCTCATCCAAATTGGGCGTACCGACTGATTGGCTACTTGTCTTCGAGTCGACTGGCTGGTATCGAGGCCAATGTGTACAACGAGCTCGAAACGTTAAAGACTTCTGCTATTGCTCCCTCATTACTCCTGTATTACAAAATGTAAAAGGTGAACTGATCACTTACTCCGAATGGAATGAGCTCGTCTTGATATCCAAGTACACTAGTTCGCACTGCCGAATGGTGAGTTGGCTCGCGTCGTTCTTACCAAGTACATTCAAAGGATGGGCACTTGCTGGACGTTGCTACGCAGTCACCCCCTTTCAATTGAAGGCGAAACGGGGTCCATGATAACTGTCACAATCGGGCGAAGGAACTCGCAAGCTTCCCTAAAACGTCGTCCTACATTGTTCCCTCGATTGGTATGCCATCAGCGCATCTCGATCCTACATGGATTCAACGAGATTCATGAATGGAAAGTTTTCACCGCACCATGCAGGAACCGAACCGGACGGCTCAGCCTCGGAATGCTCACATTCTGAAGAAAGAATGTGAACATCTATGTAGAAGATAAACACAGCTCATAAAATGTACCGAAATACTCGTCTCAGCTGAAGAATCATCCGGATTGAATCTAATTGCTGGTCCTATAGAAGACTCGACGGCTGTGCATTTTCTACCATCTTTCCGAGAGTTGAATCTAGATGAAATTAGCGTATAGCAGCATTGAAGCGTCAGTGGGTACATGCGTAGCAAGCAAGGCATCGAAACAGACGCAAGACCAAGTTGGATTAGAAAGAAACGAGAGCCTAACATTTTGCTCCGACAAAATCGACGGCAGGAAAAGTGAGGTAGTTTGGCCAGGCGAGAAACTGAGATGAAGGTCAGACATCAGAACAGGGCCGTGATTGAAGGCTATGTACTATGATGAGAATGAGTACTTCGCATATTCTGTAGGTGCATCAGATTCCGGGCAAGCACAAAGGAAGGGGATCTTTACCCACAACGAAACCAGATATGACGACCAGTCGCATCAAGTCGAGAAGCACGGACGAAGCGCTAGTGCTGATAAGTAAGTTATGTTCTGAAGGAGTTTATGTACGTAGAGAAGGGGGAAAGTTTTCTGCTTTGTGCAGATAATAGCAAGAAGGCGATGATGAAATCGTAAGACGCTGTCAGTAGTAGTTACTGCAAAAACGGTGAATATCGCTCTCTAGAGTACATGTGAAACCAAATGTTTTGGATAGCTAAGCGTCACATACCTTGATCCTTGATGTTGATCAGAATCCGACATCTTTCCCGATATCTTTGTGATATCTTGCAAGTATCTACTATCTATCTATGAAAGATGGTGAAACGGTAAGTACAAACAAGACATTCAAGGAGGCTATGGCACGAGGTCAAGACTTTTTCAGATTGCAGAACCTGCATAGTATATCGCAGATAAATGCTTTGGACTACGGTGGGGACGAGGTGTACGGAGTCTGTAAGTTGACTAGGCCACGCACCGTCCAACTCAGCGATTCCAAATCAGCTGGGATTCCGGCAACGAATGGATCTTGTAATGTAGACTCTTAGAGCGCCTAATTGACTTAGAAACAGAAAGATATAAGCGATACAGTGTACAGCCACATAAAAGAAAATAATCACACAGGGAAAGTAGCACAAGCACTGATCAGATATAAGTTCCTGTTGAAACGCGCTGCTCGGCATGAAATCGGCATGCTAGGAACCTAATCGATTCGGTGCCGCCTCCCGGCCATCAAATCATGTAATATTACATGATTTGATGCTTTGTCACCGCCTTCGATATGGCTTTGTCGGACTGGAAACCGTGGGAAAATAGGTGTCGCTGACCTGCCAGCGTTTCGCCCACGTGCACGTAGCTGCGCTATCTTATTTGGGCGAACGCGGCGAGGCAACTTTATCCAAACGGTTTCGACTCTTATTCTATTTACAAAGTAAAATGCTTCTGTAATTTTTTGCAAGAAAGTACTTAATGGTAAAATACCGTTTTAAACACCCCGCTTGCGAAGGGGTCGGTATACAACCTGCAACTTACCACCCATGAAGGTTTTGTACACAACCCTGCAGGCATGCACAAAACAGTGACTTCACCGTGAACACGGAACAACTTGGGCCTATTGTGCACTACACTTTGCACTACATTGTACAAGCAAGCCATTTAAAAATGAAGCTTTCGGATACGGGGAATCGAACCCCGAGCTGCCGCGATATTTACACTTCTGCGTAATGAGAGGCGGCAATGTTAGCCGTTACACCATATCCGATGAACGGTAATATTGATGTTTACGTCACTCGGCGTTATGTCATTTTGAGTACTTCCATGGCCAATGCCTGCGAAAACTGGGAACGTAAGGTCATGTTTTGTCATCAAGAATTATTCTGAGCGCACGGCCTACCTGCGAGTTACAACAGATATACTACACGAAAATTAAGGAAGATCAATAAGAAGCCGACGGGACATGTATGGAATAAGGTAAGAATAATCATTGTATCGTAAAATAGTTATCTTGTCGTAATCATGTTCAACCACTTGTTCTCCACTGCGTCGACCAGTGTAACCCCTGATGAATCCGTGCTCGTCGACGGCGACGGGGACACAAGAGAGCGATCTTCATATATCTCCCCCTCCTCCAAATCTGGCTCCTCATCGCTCTCCAAGTCCATATCGGACTCGCCCATCCCATCATCGGCGTCATATTGTGCCCAGTGGTGCGATCACCGGCAATGTGGTAACTGGAAGGTACGAAGGAGTAGGCGGAGCCGAAGCTTCCTCTTCCTTGACCGCTTTGGCTACCCTCATCTCAGTGATGCGCACCTCCGCCTCCTCTTCCTTCACCCGCGGTTCTATCATATCCTCAACCAGCGGCACCAAAACTGCAGCACGATCTTGTAGCCCAGACTCAAACACCTGCAAGACGGGCTTAACACCATCTTCAGCACGAAGCTGACAATCGCCTTCGCTTCGGAGTCGGAGCTGGATACTGAAGTTCGTCACTTGCCCGCGAGCTGCTGCTCTCACGCTGAATACGGGCTTCTTCCCTCCCTCAACGGCCGCTTGACGCTCCTTCTCAGCTCATGTAATTCCTTCCGAATCTCTTCTTTCTCCTGACGCTCACGAACAAGAAGCTGAGCGCATGAGGAGCGGATGGTCGTAATGATAGACCGTATCCAAGGGTTGGACATGAGGGAGATGGGGATATGTTGTGTCTGTCGTTGCTGCTGGGCAGACGGTGGGAAGGACGGCAGAGAATGTATGCGTCTGGGGGAAGGCTGAGCGTGTGGAATAAGAGCGCGCCGGCCCGAAAGATGGAGCGGCACCGGTTGGAGATGCTCTTGCATGTTGAACTGGGCCAAATTCTCAGCAGTAAGCGGGCGGTGCCCATGAAGAGGAACCATCGACGGTGGAGACTTTCTTTCCAAAAGGTAAAGAGGTGGTAGTGACTGGTGCGAGGATGGCGGTAGGGAAATAGGCAGGGGCGCCTGAGGGTCAGGTAGGATGACGACCGGCCGGCGTACTTCGATTCGTGGGCGCTCCAGGTTATACGTTGGTCTTCGCGGAAGTAATGGCGGACGATAGTCGCACATGTCTACGTCGGCGCTGAGACGACGCTGGGGTTGGATGCGGCTGTTGGGCAGTTGCTGGGACAACCTAGACTTCGAAGACTCGGCATATACGTAGTCGAAGGAGTCAATCTGAGGGTTCAGGGCGTCGTCATAGAAGCGTATGCATCCTGGAAGGACCTAGAAATGATTAGAAGAGGTTTAAAGACAAACAGATCAACGGCAAACCTGTTCAGAGTATCTGACTGTCATTATTGGGTTCGAGATGCACGATGAGCAGGCGACAGGCTTGCGATCGTACTTGGTCGATTTCGGTAGGGCTTTTGTCCCGACGCGTATGAGTATACTGTGAGGGTGAAACAAAGAATGAACACACACTAGTCTGTATCGTATTAGGGACAGCACCGCTATCCATAAACTAGGGGTTGAGTATTCTCTCCTTTACGCAGACCAGCCAGTGGACGGAAGCAGAAATCGCGTTCCACGGAAGCAAATTGCTGTGGCTTTAGTACCCTTGCTGAATCCGGTCGCAATGATTCATTCCGGCCGACCGAACAATAAGACAATAGGCGCTAAGCTCCCATCAGATCCCCCGGTTCCCAAGACAAAAGGCCTGGGGGGTTCCCTGTACATCTGACGTTATAGCGAATGCAAGAAAACAATTAAAGGCAAAGTACGTACGGCGTTGACATTGTCGTTCGCGTAGGAAGGAATCTTAAATAGGAAGGTCAGGTCCTGCCAGGCGTCCGACGAGACTTCATTATTGTGAGAAAGATCGAGATGTGCACGTATAGAGTCCGAAGCATACAGCTGCTATCGTGCCTGTTAGGTATGCAGAGCGCATAATTGTCCAAGGATCCTGAATGGGCCTTCCCTGGCTGTATTTGTATCGCGCAGGGCGACAACTTGGCGACATGATAGTGAGAGCAATATAATAAGTAAGTACGCAGAGAAAAGGGCAGTGATATTGTTGTCGTCGTCGTAGTAGTAGTAGTAGAAGAGAAAGGCCTCTGCGATAAATAGGAACACACAACGCGACGACAGTCGTCTATTTCGGGAAATACCGCGATATTGTCCTCTTTGGGCTCGTCGTCGGCTGATGTCGGCACCGTCGATCGACCTCAAGATATGATCAAAGATGATCGTCAAAGCAGTGTCAAGGTGAGCTCCTTGTGATACGAACTTGTATTTTGGTAACAATCTATCTTCTGCTGTTTAGATATTGACAGTTTGTACGAAGAATTCTATGTGAAAAGATTCATATGATCAACAAACAATCAAGCAATTTGACATCCTCATCAACTTGTCCTCCGTCCATTAGATTCCTTCCCGTGGGTCGCGGATTGGTCCACCTTAAATACTTTTCCATCAACTTCTTCAAGATCTCCAATTTAATACAACGGCATACCGTGTGAGGGATGTGAAGAGCGCCAAGAAATAAGGTCTCGATGGAGGGGAACTGCGAGCAATGATCATTATGCTACTAGTATGGGACCAGATTTATTGCCCTCTCCGTCATCGGTCGACTCTCTATCTGTTGTACTCCGCTCCTCCTCGACTCCCTGCTTCCTAGTTTTTGTTTTTGTTTCGTTCCTTAACTTGTGACCTGTGAATTCCGTCAGGTTTGTTCGAGACTCGAGTTAACTTATAAATGAACATTGAATAGAGCTTGAGCATATGATGCATAGCATGAGCCATTTAATTGGGTCCGCGTCCAAACAGAAAGCATCTGTTCGGTTCAAAAATAGACATCGGAAGACGTTTAAAAAACCAACAATTATTGAGCACGAGTCTGCTGTTTGGTCTGCCCACCTTCTCTTATCGCTGTCTCCTGTGCCCTCTCGAACTTTCTCCGACAATACACCATGTCATTCGTTCAAGTTTTAATCATGGAAACTTCTTACTTTCAACGTTTCCATAACTCAAGTCCAGTATCCATCCTCTCAAGCATCTCCGCGCGGCAATATTCCTGGACTAGATCAAATCCGCGACCTTCTCGGACGCATCACCTTCTCACATCCTTCTAAGAACTAGCTTGGTACAAGGAGTTCATTTTCAGCGCCGAGCCGCTGAGATACGCGTCGCTTGAGGGATCAATTACCGACGGGTTCATTTTCTTCGCGGTGCCGCCGCCACTTAGACGGAGAGGAACTGTCAGAAGACCCCGATAAGGGGCGTTTGTGTGTCCCTTCGCTGAATAGTGTGTATCGAGAAAGCTGAACGGGATTCTCTTGGGAAGTGCGATGGATCGGACATGAGGCTGAAAGAATGTCAGATTACAAGAATGCCTCTAACGTGTAGTAAACGTACCGTACTTTTCCCGACCCCAGTTGTGTTAAGATGAAGAAGGTCGGACCGACCAGAGAGCGAATTGTATATGATCGTTAGCCGTAGCCACAGCACAGATGGGTTTATATTGCCCACAGAGCTGTTTTAAGGAAGAATTACATTGTGATCGCGGAAGATCCGTCAAGGCGTCAAGATTGCTAGTTCCCACTCGCTGGATTAATGTACCCATCACCGATGATCACCGCGAACACGCGCGGTTGTGGGAGCGTGGACACCATGAGGTGGAACGATATTTAAAGACATACCATACCGGGATATGTGAAAGTGGAAATAGCGTGGAGTGTGATATGCTTGCGGACCTCGACACACCCGAAAATGATCTATGGAATACAGAGGGAGCAGTGTTCAACGCCGGGATCACAGATATTGCTGCAAGTGGACCATTTTTCGATCGCGCGACCGGTCACGATGCAATCGAACGATCAGATTTCTTCCCGGGAGGACATACAGTGGCTCAAAAAGACAGCAATAGTAACAGCAACAGATATTTCCCACAAAGATTGAGCGCTGAAGAGCCTAGAAAGGACACAGAAGCCATCTGTCAAGGCAGTGCAATGCTCCATACAGTATGTACTGATTTGAGGGCAGTGGCCGTTTTAAGCGCGCGATCGGCATCAGTAGAAAAGGGACCGTGGGAAATGATTAAATAAACCGGTATATAAGGGCCGAATTTTGCTCCCAACTTCTTCCTACGCCCAATCGACGCCCTTTTCAGGTCTACGTGTTCGTGATTCTGTGGAGGAAATAATCTCTGTCTGCTTCTCTTCTATTTGTTCATGCAGCAGAGGAGGGATACTGGCCCGGGCCTGGGGATTCTCGATCTGAAAGGAAATAGTAGCAGTACTCCAGTGACACCACAAAGGACCAATTCACGGCCACTGGGGGATGAACCAGCACCATCTAATTCCACAGGAACAAGGCCTCCCTCACGCTCTGAAAATGACACCGCGAATCGGATGAATCAGCCGGGGGGATATCCTATTTCAACGGGACCACAAGTACAACCGTACGGGGGAGCGTCGCAGCCATATTACCCTGCAATTCGTTTCGTAGACCAGTCGGGGGGGCCACAGGGGGCGCAGGTACGTGGTCATTTTTCTGACCGCCTGTGTTTTTTTTGAAAGAGCGTTTGATCAAGTCACGACCTTTGATTCCGACATCCGTAATGGCCCCCCGCGTGCAGCCCTCCCAGAAGCCTACGGCAAAAACATCATCAAAATCAGAGAGTAACGGAACATCGCGAGCACCATCAAGGACGAGGTCGGATCCCGCACCGAGCCCTTCAATGTCTGTGCACCCGTCACCCGTGGAAACGAGGCGTGACCTTCTACCGGTATGTTACATACCTTTTCAG